CACCCGCAGCAGCAATTCTGAATGACTTGTGGGGCCCCAGCACAGGCATTTCAGCAAAAATTATACTTTTTTTAAAAAACAGTTTATTTTTACATCATTTTGTACATTTTTTTTCCATCTCAATTGTAATCCCCGCGGGTTTCCCATCACCGAGTCACCCATGTGCCATCACCATAGTCCCGTGCACTTCCCTCCCCACCCCCCACCCCCGTTTTTGATCCCATTCCCCACTCCACCCCCACAAAATGTCTCTGGTATAAGGAAAAAATTATACTTTTTGATGGCCATTTTCGTGACCTCTCAGCATTGCCTCACCCACACAGTGCCTGCCTGGAAACCCAGAATGCTGGTTGCTCTCTACATGGAAATAAGTAGCACCAGGCCAGCCTCACCGGTGAAGTCAGTGTGACCACCTGTGGCCCCTGGCAGAGTGCTGCCAACCATCCACCAGCATGCATCTCCCTCCTTTCTTTTCCGGACCAGAAGACAAGTAATTACAGAACTGGCGGTTTCCTGAGTTAGGATGCTCCCCACATACCCCTCTGAGTCCCCAGAGACGGAGGTCCAGCTCCTCTCTAAATGCCCCCTCCCACAGCCCACCCCACCCCCAGGGCTAGTGACTTTTTAAAAATCATAATAGTTTATTTTTACATCATTTTGTGCCTTTTTCCATCTCAGCTGCAATCCCCGTGGGCTTCCCATCACCAAATCACTGTGTGCCATCACCTTAGTCCCGTGCACTCCCCTCCATTTTTGACCCCATTCTCCATTCCATTCCCCATAAAACGTCTCTGGTATATAGTTGTTCATTCCCCCCGCCCCAGTCCTTTATATGGAGCATATTTTTTTGGGGTGGGTAGGGTAGAGGGCAATGTATTCTGCCTATCACACCCATCCCACCAAATTTGGAGGGGATTATCTCAACCCCTGGTAATTTCAATCTACACTGTTTACCTTCTTGTATTCTACACATTCACGACATTTATGGTGGGATTTTATTTCTGACCCTTCCTCTTTCCATGTGCTGCATTAGAAGTTATTTGCTTTCAGGATCTGTGGGAATGGACTGCGCTTTCTCTGGGCTCCCTTTAGTCCTATGTTAAAGAAAAACAGCTCAAAACTAGGAACGTCCCAGCACTGAGAAACAAGGCCAGGAGCTGGCCCTGGCCCCCACAGTGAAGGGCTAAATCACCGATTTCAACCTCATTTCCTCGTATGTTAAATGGACATAACAGCACTTCCCACAGGAGCGTGTCCTGAGTGTCCACAAGAGTGGGTGCGGGAAGGGGCAGCTGTCCTGGTGGGACGCAGGGCCCGGGGCGCCGGAGATGAGCAGCAGCAGAGACTGCTGAGCCTGCTTCAGACCAGGCTGGAGAAGCCCAGCTGCCCGCAAATGAGAAGCTTCAGAAAACACACCTTGCGGGGATTACTAAGGCCAGGTTGACATGCAACAATTCACATCTGCAATAAAACTGTAAAAGCTTTCTTAGTGAAAAAACACCACAGTACCTGTCACCTGAAAGTTCAATTTCAGGTCCGTAACTATTTTTTAACAGGGGCCTGTGTGCTTTTTGTTTTATGATGCAGGGAATGTGTCCCACAGAGCTCGAAGGAGTGGCGTCCTTCTCTGGGCTTGCCCTAAAGTCCTAGCTAGGGCATTTTCACCTTCCCTCCCTGTTTCCTACTACATTTCCTGCACAGACCCTTCCTCCTGCTTCTTCCCTGCAAAGTCCTCCTCACTCTCTAGGTCCCAGCTCACCTGTATTTCCTTAAGGGGCTCCTTGTCCTCTCAAGACCAGGTGAGTTTTCCTTCACACGTGAGCTCCCATTGCATGCCGTGGTAAGGCATTCAGGAGGGTCGAAAACACAACTGTTTTGTCAAGTACGGCTAGTTCTAGCAGTGACAGATTCCCCAGGTATCAGTATTATAACAGATATAGCAACTTGTCTCCCTCCTGTGTAAAGCGCATGCAAGCGGGCAGTCCAGGGCTGGTGTGGTGGTCCACACCAGACTTCTGTGCGCTGCTCTCAGCTGGGCCTCCCTTCCCGTGATCCCGGAAAGCCAAGGACCGGCGCCAGCTAGTAGGCAGGCAGGGAGCTCTGTGGGTTTTGCACATGCCTCTTTTACCTCTACCCTTTGGGCCAGAAGTAATACCTGCAGGGAAAGTGGGAAATTTAGCCCTTATTTTGAATCGACATGTAAACAGTTAAAAACTGTTCAAGTTCTCAGGAACAGAAGTGCCTGTACTGGGAGACAGTCTCTGGCCACACTATTCTTTGTTCACATCACACCACCTGGCACATTGAATTTCCTGATGGAATAAGGAAATGAATACGTCATTTATATGTTCCTCTGCTAGGACTGTCTTCGCAAAGGAATAGGACTGGAGGGACTTAAATGACAGGTTTCTTTCCCAGCACTCTGAAGGTCCGAAGACCAAGGAGCAGGCAGTGCTAGTTGTGAAGGAAATGCCTCTCTCCAGTAGCTCTGGCCATCTTGGGCATTCCTGCGTCCGCAGACGCTGCCTTCATGTTCATGTGGCTTTTATCCTGGGTGTGTATTGCGCGCACACAGCCCAAAATTCCCCCTTCCTGAAGGTCACCATTCATCGTGAGCTAGGGCACACCCTAATGACCTGTGTGAATTAATTATATCTGCAAAGGACCTATATATCTAAATGAGCTCACGCTCTGGAGTACTGGGAATTCAACATTCACAGAGCATATGAATTTGGGGGGTGGAGGAGTGGAGCCGTTCAGTAATTCACAATTCAGGAGAATTTTGCCTCCTGCCATGCAGTCTTCCCAGGCATTTATTTTGCTGCTCTGGCCTGTCCCAAGGTGATAGCTCTCCAGCTCCTGCACAGTGACATCCTGTCCACACTGAGGGAGCGGGAGGGTTGTGTGTGGGCTATCTTATTGGAGGCCACTGTGGGACTGAGCATTACTGTCCGTTAGGGGTTGGAACCAAGTAAGTCTTCCTCAGGGTGTGATAGGGGCGCAGGAGCAGGCTTGAAAGGCCAGGGGGTTCGCTCTGAGCCCTTTGCATAAGTTGAAGCTCCTGCCCTTGGTAACATCCCATGAGACCACACTTTGCTAGTGCAGGCTGGGCACAGCAAGGCCTGGTGTAGGATCTGGAAGTCAGACAACTAGCTCAGTCCTCACTCAGCATCATCCTTTGTAAAAAGAAGAGAAAATGCCGATATATATATGTACATACGTATCTCTAGATCTGTATATATCTTTATACATCTTTATACATAGATATTTGCTCAACATGCCACCCACTGAAAACTCCTTTCAATGAACATTTCATTCTGTTTTTTAATGTGCATTAATTAACTTAACTTTTTACATAATTAATTAACTTTTTACTTAATATTTGGAATGACTTATGTATATAAACATTCATCAACACTGTAGGGCTGAATGGGAGAATCACAATTTATTTAACCAAGCACATGTCATTGATCATTTAGTTTATTTTCAGCTTTCAACTTTTAGAAACAATGTTATAATCAATATCCTGGTGGTCAGATATTTGCCCACATCCTCATTCATTAGGGTGAATTCCTACATGTGGAATTGCTAGATCATGCTAGTGAGTAGACACTGTCTTTATGTTTGTGTTGTCAAACTCCTAAAGCCATGTGCTACCCAGACAGAACCCTGCACTGAGCCCCCACACCCCCTCAACAGTTATCAAGGCCCACCATCTACCCCCCACCTACTTTCCCTAGTTCCTGCTTAGAAACAGACTGAAGGCACCCTGCCTTTCTGAGCTCACTGCGCTCACCTAGTACAGGCATTTGAAAATGAGGGAGGACAGACGTGAAATTAAGAGGTCAGCATGTTATCTCTGCTTCTGTCCTGGTGGTTGGGCTTTTCCTCTGTTCCTGTTTGTCTGGACTTGGGCTCATTTGTCCTCTGGGTTCCTTGTACCCAGTTTCCTCCTTTCTTTCCCTCTGGGTACGCATGTATGTTTTTAGGCGGTTTCACATCTTGCCAGATGGTGCTCTGGAAAGGCTACTCAAATTTTTATTTTCACCAGAATCCTATGGGAGTGTCCAGTGCTGCAAGCTAAAGTTTGGGGCTTTTCTCCTTCCATCCCTCCTCCTTTCAGCCTTAATTTCCAGATTCAAATAGCATTGTTTTAGGGCCTCCCTGGTGGCGCAGGGGTTAAAGTCTCAGGGCTATCAAGCTTTCACCAGCCACTGCAGCACTAATTAGATCTTGACCAGGGAGCTGACCCACATGGCACAGACCTTTCCTGTCTAGCGCACTGCTCCGCCCAGCACACTTGTCATCTACCTGTTCTGCTCCCCACTCTGTCTCTGGTGAATCCCACCTCTTGCACCTCTGGCGTGGACCCCAGTTTTTGTATGCATAAATAAACCTTTAAATAATAATATTGCTACTTTAATTAGAACTTATTACTTATTCGGTTATTTGTAGGGTTAAAAATTGCCCTCCCCAACCATTTCTTCACTGAACAACTATTTCCTCTTTGTAAGCGGCTTTTTGCTTTTGAGGTACTGCTATTTTAAAAATTGTGTTCACTTACTTATGTTAATTTCATAGATTATACTCCTATCAGTGAATTGCCCTGAATATTTGTTTACACTAAGACAAAGTGTTACATGTGCATGAAAGAGTAAGTGAGCCCTGTAAGCTGGCTGCTCAGAGCAGCAAGGCACTTTCACCTGTCAGGGCTCGGTCTCCGCTGAGGCTGCCAGTGCAGGCTGGGGGCGGCAGGACAAGGGAGGGTTCTACGGGTCACTTCCTCTCCCTGCCGTCTTAGTCATCCATGAAGCAGGTAAGCAGGGAAAGCAGCTGCTTTCCCTTTCATTATGACTTGTCCCAGGGCATCTTAAGAAGAACTTTAAGCCCAAATCCAGGGTTTTTCTACTATATCAGACTGATTTATATTTGTGGAAGGCAAAGAAAGCATTGAAATATATCAAATAGCAGTAATTTTCAATTTTGGTTTTTTCCTGTAGCATGAAGGCCCGGGACCAGGTCATTATAACTTGAAAATACCTTCAGCAAGTTCTATTACTTCTTGTTTTCAATCCCGTGTACCTCGATTCCTGCCTTCCCGTTCAGTATGTATTCTAAAAGGCAGACTATGGCCGGGGGTTTGTGGCGGTGTTGGGGGTAAGGGGCTGGTGGGCGGTGGGGGTGGGCTGGGTGTTATAGTTGTGCATCACTCTAGTGGATGGGCGCCACGGCTCGCCAGGCTGCAGGATATGTCTGGCTCAGAGTTGGCAAGCCCTCAGCCAGCTTCAGACTCCCAGCACTGCTGGCCTGTAGACCACGGCTGAATTACAGCCCAGCTGAGAACAGCCAGCACCTAACTCGGCATCATCTCATGACCTGGGTGCTTCGTGGGGAAAGGGGACAGAGAGTTGAGCAGGCAGGGAGCAATGGCTGCTCCACCCATTCAGAGCTGCTCTTCTGTGTGTGGTTTCTGGTAGCAAAAAGAGCAGAAACTATTAACTGATCCAAAGGGCCCATTAAAGCATGAGTAATCACATTGCCCCCAAGGATTGGGGCAGACAGGAAAATGGCTCAAGTCCACAGAGAGGTACCAAGGAGGCGATTCTTGGAATGTGCAGGAGCAAGCCCTCAGTAGAGGAAACCAGAAGAACTCACCAGCAGAAACATGGACTATTGGAAGTGGCTTTGCCTAGGTTTTTCTTTTGTTAATGCTAAAAGGCAGCTTTAATTCCCATGGCCTTATTCCCAGACTGAAAGTCCCTGACACTTGCTGACTTACTTGAGATGACCTGGGAGACAGATGAAAATTCTGCCCATCCCTGGGTTCGAGGGATGGTGGGAGACGCTGGGCAGCAGGCAGAGAAGTCAGGGACGCTGCTGTCTGGGCCTGTCAATCACCTCCTCTTCCCCTGCGCTGCCCCAGGCCCTCTCCTTCAGGGCCCCAGAACTGACGACACAGGGCGGGGTGGTGTGGTCTTTCCCTGGAGGAATCCAGAACCCACTTATAAAACTACAAACACCCGTAAGAGGAGGCTGGGGGGTGCTTCGGCACGTTTGCACACTCGGGGGCGCCACCATGGCCCAGACACAGATTTTTTCAGGGCTCACAGAGCAAGACTCGCTTGGAAGTCAAGATTCGTGCTAATCAAGCGCCAGAAAACTGAAAGCGAAGCCAGAATTTGTTGTTCTAATTTACGGGTGTCCCTCCACCAAGGGGCCTGGTGTCCGGGCCACTGCTCTGGCTTCATGGACACCAACGGCAGGCTGGGGACAGAGCCGCATGCTCTCAAAGCCTGCGAACCACAGCCAGCGCCCTCCTGAGGCTGTCCTGCAGGGCCCAGGCCCCGAGCCTCCTGCTCTGCAGGCTGGCCTTGCAGGTCCCCCTCGCACGCTGCTTCCTCATTCACAGCGCTAATAGAGGCTTCAGCTTCCTTTGACGTCCGACCAGGACTTGATTCGATTTCCAGGCTGCTCCTCGCTTTTGGCAAGGGAAACATCCTGTCATTTACAGCGGCTTCGGCAGGCGGCTGATCTCATCCATGCTGGGCTCACCACTCAGTCCCACTCTAGGATAATCCTATTCCACTCTCACTGTCTCCTGAGGAGATAACAGACTGCAAGGAAGGGTGGAAATGACAAGTAGGTGATACTAGTGAATAGGGTGGCAGTGGCAGCTAATGTGGAACACTGTGCTGCCAGCCTGGCGGGCCTATCTCGGGGGGCCCCCAGTGAGCTGTAGAGCCTCCTGAGAGCGATGTACACTTAGCCTGGTTGATGGGCGAGGTGTGGAAAGCACACTGCCAGGGACACACCAAGTCACCGGTGGCGGGACTGGGGCTTGAGCCCAGGCCTGAACTGAACTCCTTTCCTTAACCAGCAATGGTTCCAGCACATCTAAGATAAAATGCCCTTGGGGGCCCTCCCTGGCGGCATAGCGGGTTAAAGCACAGCACAAAGAGGCTTAGACCACTTCCTCATGAGTTCAATTCCCGCCTGCCCCGGAGGTGACCACATGGCGTAGCAGACCTCTCCTGACCTGCCCGCTGCTCCCCTCAGCAGTGTACTTCGTCGATCTGCCTGTTCTGCTCCCCACTCTGTCTCTGGTGAATCCTCTCACCCTCCGCATCTCTGGCCTGTACCCCAGTTCTGTATGAATAAATAAATAAATCTTTTAAAAAAAAATGCCTTGTGTTTCAAGAGTCTGTGCGTGTGCTCAGGCACTGGAAAACACTAATGGCAGAAATGGAATTCTTAGTCTACGAGAATGACGTTCCTTGCATTTTGTTGATACAGAAAAGCTGTTTATATAATTGGCAAAGTAAAAGTGTGCCATGAGGTACAGGTCTGAGCCGCCACAGGCCGCCTTCCCTCAGCACCTGGGGCAAGCTGCTGACAGCATGCCTGGCCTCAGCCCGGGCCCTGGGGGTCCTTGTTCCTCTGGGGGATTTACCAGAGGGGGTGCTACCGCGTTTGCTATCACCATCTCTTCAGCCTGTTTTCTGTTCTGTTTTCAGAAAACCCCAGGCCCAGGAGCATACACAAGTTCAAGACAATTCCCCAAGCAGCCCCGGACCATAGCTAAAATGGGCCAAGAACACAGCCTCTTCTTCAACAACACAATTGACTTTTCAAAATAAAGCCACCCAGACCCTAAGCTACTCTGAGTTTTAGCAGTTTCTCATGTTGGCGAAACTCTGTGCTCTCATTGCTGCTTTGGCTCGAGTCTGGGGAGATTTGACCACGGAACATAATCGATTGCTCTGGACAGTCCTGTCACCACCCCCCCCCGGGGTGAGCCACGCAGACCCCGCTTCCTGGCAGCAGCCCCCTTTGGTCGGTGGAGTTTGGATGCACACGGCCCAGATCGCACCCGCCACTGCTGGTGGTACTAGGATGCAGAAGTGTCTTGCCCTCTCTGCGTATTCTTTTTTATTGGGGTGTCTTCCAGGAGACTGTCTCCTGGGTGGCTCTGGCAGCAGCTGGGACAGGCCCTGCTTTGTTCCTTGTGCCTCCAGCTCTTTCAGTTCCCCTAGGGTGACAACTCCCGGCCCTACGGAGGCTTCCTTGGTGGGGGCTGAGGGGTGGGGGGCGGGCGTGGGGGTGGGAGCTGGCATTTAACCAACGGCAAGCTGAGCCTGACAGGATAGCAACAGGTGGTTCTTTCTCAACTCCCTGAAAAGAACAATATTGATTCAACCTGATGAGTATTTGTGGGTTTAAGTCAACAAAAATATTTTGAGTATCTACTCCTTGCCAGGTGCTGTGATGGACTGGAAAGTGGGAGCTTAAAACAAAGATGAAAGACATGTTGACTAAGTTTAGGGAGGGTTGTGGGGGAGACAGGATGAGGAAGGTAGGCAGGGGCAGTCCCAGCTGGACAAGGCTTTTAAATGAGTTTCCAAGCAGCTCCTGCTGGTAATCTCGGGCTTGAAGCCCGGGGTTGACCTCACGTGAGGGCAGTTCTTCAGGAAGGAGCCAGGCCCAGGGTCAGAGCTAAAAAAAAAAAAAAATCACCTCACCTGGGCACAGAGGAACAATTCTGACAACAAAGGCCAGAGGAAGGACAAGCAGCAGGCTCACACTGAAGGATAGGATGCCTGCAGCCGGGCCCTGGCTGGCACCCAAGGCTCTGGGAGGCTGCACTAGGCAGAGAGGAGCAGAAAGAGTCAGGGCAAGGAGCCCTCTCTGTGAGAAATGCAGGAATAAACATTTGCTGGAGGGGAGGAGAGGGAGTCTGGCCCAGCTGGCCTGGCCAGTGAGGGCGTGAGGCATCGGACAAGGTGCTGTCGAGCAGAAAGCCAAGAAGCCAGCACTGCTCACAGCACTGCACCCGACCAGCCCGCACCACATGGCACACCCTCAGAAAAGTGGGCGACATTCTAGTGCTCGAGAAGTAATTTCTTAAATTAAAAAAGTGAAAAAATGCTTACAATTGAAAAGAGAAAAATGTGACCTTCTCAGTCTTAGAGACCCTTAAAAAATGGGCATGGGGGTCCAGGGAGGGAAGGTCATTCTTTTCACTGAGTTTATTCATGTTGTTGCACATCTGTGCAAGAAACTCCCGCACTGCATTCTCCCAGACAGAAAGCAGCCACTTGGGAGGGCAGCCAAGTCCTGCAGTGGTGTCTCGAGCCCCACTTTGATGGGAAGATGGCTGCGGGCAGTTAGCTCAGTTTTATTCTCCCAACAGCCAGAGTCTGCTGCAGGCAGAAGGTTAAGGGCCAGCAGCTCTGGCGGTGTCGTGTCTCAGGGCGCATGTAATGCTCGGGGAGAGGTTCCAGAAAGAGGGAGCGGCAGCCACATCTGTCTTGGGGCTTAGGACTAGGAAGTGAGCGGAACCCCTCAAACAAGAGGAAGAGGAGGGATTGAGTTGTAAGGAAGTGGTATCACTTCCAACAAGAGTGGACCCGGGTAGCCAGGATCCCCCGACTCATGAAGGCCCCATGGCCGCCCTGCACCCTCAGGTCTACATCTCCTTCAGGGGGTCAACTCTCACTGTGTCTTTACATGCATGGACCAAATGTTATTTTAGCTTCTCACATCATTTCCCGCTCTGACACCCTAAAAGGATGTAGCCAGCCCCTCTTGGTTCCAGTATCAGATTCCCAGGAGGGACAAGCCAGCTGGCCAGCTTGGCGAGGGGTCTACCCCGGGTCAGGAGGAACCAGCCCTTCAGCATAGACATGCCCACCGGTCCCCATGTGTAACTGGCTGGAGAGCAGTTCCTGGTGGTCTAGAAGGATTGAAGCCCATATTCACAGTACATACAGGTAGTAGGGACCTTTCCCAGAAACTAGAGAGATTGGGACTGTTTTTGTTCCTGACATGAGCCTAAAACTGGGGTGCTATCTGAAGAGGAGGGCCTCCTCCTATTCTTTCCAAGAGACTGGACAGAACTGGGCAGACTTTGAGTTAAGTTCTGAGCCTGGGATGCTAACACCTTGCAGCTAGGGCTGTTGCGTGCCTGGCGTGACCACCCACAGGGAGAGGGTGTGATCTGTGGTGTGATCCTAAGTGTCCCTGCCCTGTTGAATGCGTGACATTGGCTTCTCCAGGCCTTTCCTGCTTCCCTCCTTCACATCTGCCCATCCCCAAATGCCCTTGGCTCTTCCTGGCTGCAATATTTCCATGGCTACCCCTCCTCCTGAAGTCAGAGCAAAAGGCAGAGCACTAACAGGGCAGCTTGTCCTCCTCCCTCTTTCCCCTCCTTCTCCCCAACCCCTCACCCCACCTCCACTGCCTTCCAGGCATACAGGTGATGTAGGTTGTGGGCCACTGGGGCAGTCTTCAGCCCTGGCTCTCACCTGCTGGATATCACCTGCCCCTAAGCATAAATGAAGCTGCCTGGACCTGGGTCCCCGTGCCCAGGATTACTTTGAAACCCGTTATCCTGAAAACAGGGTTCAAAGTTTACAAGTTTAAAGCAGCAATTCTGAAATATTTCAGACCTCTCCTGGGGAGCTTTTAACATCTTGGTGCCTGGCAACGCCCAGGAGATTACATTGACTGCCAGTAGAGCCCGGCCCTTACCTTTTAAATTTTAATTTACTATTTAAAGTATATTTTAACGAGGACACTTTCTCACCATCTTTAAATAAAGTGTTTTTAAACCGCAGCTGCTGGGCCTTAGGACATACTTGCCGCCCCGCTCCTGATCGTGTTCCTGAGCCACGCCAGCCCGCCCTGGAAGCCCTTATGGCAAGAGGGCTGGATTCTTAGCAAATATTGAACCGCTTTGTTTTTCCTTCCCTGGAGGACAGTCTTATGCACTTGGAGCATGCGCTTTTTCTTATCCAAGCATCTTTATTGCCTGTCCCAGCATGGACAGCTTTTTGTCCTGGTAACAGTACAGCTTATGAGGGAGGTATGGGGCCCCACATTTTTCCCATCTGCAGGGGAGGCTGAAACACTAAGATTCTTGACTTAGAGCTGGGACAAACCCAGCCTGTATCAACGATCACAGGCTGAAGTCGGCCTGGGAGGGCACCTCTGGACCACGGAGCACAAAGTTCACGCCATGTGGTGACTGTGGTCTTTAGAGGTAACGATTACTAAATCTTCAGGCTGAACTTCTGCATGGAGGGGAAGCTAAGTAGCTGCTATTTTTTTTTTTTTTTCAAGTTCCACTCTCCACCCTACCCCACTCTCATGTGATTCCAATAAGCAACAGTTAGATTCATGGGTGTGAAAACACCAGGCACCATCACTTGGCTGAGGCGCAAAGTAATTCTCCTGCTACTAGAAATTTAAGAGCGGCCCCTGGCCTAGGAAGTCCCTCTCCCGCTGTGAAGACATTGATCCATTTTTGCACCTGGCTGAGTCTGAGAGGAAGGCAGCAGAGGGCTGGTTTTTCGGGGAGAATTTAGTGCCTAGAGCCTTGCCAGGGGGAGGCTTTTCCACGCAGAAAGGACGAGCAGGGCCTGAGCCCAGCTCCTCTCACCAGCTTGACTCCTGGCTGGGCTCCCCAGAGACCCTTTGGCTTTTCCCCCCCGCCCCTGGCTTCTGCCAGGCCCAGACGGAGGACTTTGGCCTCTGAATCCAGCACTTTAGTGCCTGGGTGAGGTCCTGGGGCAGCGCCAGAGACCTAGACTGTACTGAGCTTATTTGGAACCTCCCAAGAGAAGCCACAGTCCTAGCAGGCAGAAGAGCTGACCCTGGGTCTACAGAAGCCGGGAGGTTCCGGACGGTGAGTTAGGAAGTGGAAAGAGAAGGAGACAGAAGTAGGAAGGAGAATTAGAGAAAGGGAGGCTCAGAGGTTGAACTCATAGAATCTTGCTGACACTTCGGCCAATTTCAGAGCCCAGAAAAAAAAAAAGTCACCCCTTTAAATAGCAGCAGCGGGAGGAAGTAGCTTCTTGGCTACTCAGTGAGTCAGGGAGGGGAAATAGGCCCAGGATCTCGGCGTCTCTGGTCTCAGGATGGACTAGTGTAGGGCCAAGAAGGCAAAGCTAGGTGGCAGGGGGCAGGAGGCTTGACCGGACCCCCAGACCTCTGCACTTCCTTTCTCAGGCTCGAGAACCCCCGACACTCTTCCGCGCATAGTCATCTCGCCTGTAGTCTCGACGCGTGACGCTGCCTTTTTATCCCTCACCTCTCAGCACAGGTGTCCACACTTTTGCAGCCCACGCTCACTGGGCCCAGGTGTCCATAATCACAGGCACGCGCGCCCTGCACCCACACCCCTGGGTCCCGGGCAGCCATGCGCGAAGTTGGGGGGCGCACAAATGCCTGATAATGTCACTTACCTCCCAGCTAGCCAGGGCCTGATGCTGAAGCCCCGAGCTCGGAGGTCCTGCCTGGAGGGCCGGAGGGCCGGAGGGCCGGAGGGCCGGCCACGAACAGGGAAGTTGACTAGAACTTTCCTGACTCTATTGGGTCAGAGGGGACCCTTGGAAACATGCTGGGCAGGTCACCCCGATGGGCTTCTAATTCCCAGTCACTCCTGGCTGGGTGAGAACCTGCAGAACCTGGGGTCTACAAAGCCCTCCCTGAGCCCTGTGTGCCCCATCCTGGGCCAGGGGTAGCTCTTTAACAGAACAACCTGTCTCTGTTTCCGGTTGCTGCAAGAACGAAAACTACAGACTGTAACTTAAAACAGCACACTTATTCTTACGGTTCTGGAGGTCAGCAGTACAAC